ACCTCGGCAGGGGGAGGGCTCCCCTCAAGTCCTCTGTCCGTCAGCCAGCAACACCGTGCCCCGCCCCGTCGGCCCCCCAGGCGTGGGTGGCCGCCCTCTCATTTCCATGCATTTAGTCCACAGCTTGAATGGATCATGACCCGTTTGGGTCAGATTCTGTGTTACTTTCTGGGGAAACAGGGAGACGAAGATAAAGGTCCCTGTCCCAGGGGACCTGTATTTTGGCGGGGAGACATACAATATTCAAACAAAGGAATACTGAGCGCGCTGGCTCGAGGAGGGGGCGCCTGAGCAGGGCCCTGCGGAGAACAGGTGGGAGGAGCTGCCGGGGCAGGTGGAGGCCCTGAGGTCAGGCGTGTCCTCCTCGAGTGAAGGAAGGTCCGCGTGGCTGTGGGTCAGCGGCAGCTGGGGGCTGGGCCAGCTCGTGTAGGGCTTTGCAGACCACAGAGGAGCCACCAGGATCCACAGGAAAGAGGAGGGCGGGATGGAGGAGGGTGAGGACACGGGGCCTCCAGGCAGAGGTCACGGCAACGGTCAAGGGCAGAGCTGGGGGACCGGAGGGCAGACAGGCCCTGCTGATTGTATGGGTTGTCTCAGCGAGATAGACCACCGACTCAGAATTTAAATTTAAGAGGCTTTATTAAGCTGGCCAGCGACTACAGTTATAGCACCCTGCAGAAGCAGAGGCTGAACTGCAGCCCAGACTACTACAGGAGTTACATTTTATTATTAAATTCTGTGGAGGCCCAGAGAAAAATGTGTCTTTCAAATTCTGGGCCCCCAATATGGAGGAAACTCTCTTTATTTATACTGTTTCCAGTCCTTTGTCTCCCAAATTTGGAATGAGACTTCTGGGCCTTCTGAGAAAGAAGGCCTGCGTGCTGGGAAGGGGCCATGAGACCATATCTCAAGGCCTGGCCTGATGTCAGTACCTTCCTATCTATGTGTTTTAGGAACAGACAGCACAGCATGACCCGTTTGGCTGAAGTGCCAGATATGCAGCCCAGCACATTCCCCACTGGTTTTATGTACATGAGTCAAATCATTGACTCTTTTGGGTCATTGTTGGGGAGGGAGTTACATTGACCCTCGAGGAATTCTTTGCCGAATAAAGTCAGTGGGCCTGTTTATAAGATAAGGGCCAGGAGTAATCTTCAGAGGGTCCGAAGAGGCCTGGACTCTCTATTTTGCCTGAGCTGTCTTAAGCCGGGTGTGATGAAGCCACGTCAGGATCCCGTCGACCTTGACCGCCGTGGGAGTGGTCCTTTCCAGGCAGGAGTCAGTCCTTGGGGGGCACATTTCTTTACCCAAACAGAGTCACCAGGTTGGAAGGGATGAACCGGATGCAGGCAGAGCATCCCGGACGTGCCTCTGGTCTGCTTTCTGGGTAGACTGTAAAGCCTGAAAGAACTCGAGTAAAGATTAGTTATGGATTTCAGCTCACACTGATGGGCGGTGACGGGGGGACAAGCTGGGGGCAGCTGTGGGGACCAGCCCAGCCGTCACTCACCTGAGGGGAAGCTGCACCCCCACGGGCGGCGTCACAGGCGGGTCCCGCCCTCCCCAGGTGTCGGACAAGTTTGCTTTCGGCCTCTTCGACCTGGACTGGGACGTGTTCACCCAGCACATCGAAGGGGCCGTGAACCGGGTGCCTGTGCTGGAGAAGACGGGGGTCAAGTCCACGGTCTGCGGCCCAGGTGAGCGGGAGGCCTGGGGGCGGGGGGCTGGCCCTGCAGGCAGCAGCTGGGTCCCTCCGCTCCCTGTGGCCTCTCCAGCAGCCCTGGTGGTGGGCACTGCTGTACCCTCCCTGCAGGCCGGGGCCTGCG